GGAAGAAAAGGTAGAGAGATCTTCCATCCACTGATTCATTTCTCAGGTAGCTGGACTAGGATAGGGCTCCCTTGTAGGTGGCAAGAGTCCAAGCACTTGTCTCATCTGCTGCTTTCCTAGGCACATAGGCAGGGAGCTATATCAGAAGTAGAGTATGCTGACTTGACCCAGCACTTACAGGTGATGCCAGCATCGCTGGTGGCAGGTCCACCGCCACTACAACCTTGGTTCTAAGGTGAGACTTCGTAAGCTCATGCCTTTCTTAGGAATGCTTGAGTTTGGCAGACCTTTCATGGATTTTATGCAGGACCTTCTAAGTGTGGGAGCAAAGGAATGGGTAAGATAGAAGTGTTCCTTTCATGGAATGAGCTTGTATTTTATAAGGAGAGAAAGACAAATGAGAAAATTAAAAATAAGGTAATTTCTGATGGAAGCAAACATTATGAGATACTTGAGTAGTAGGTAGGAATATCCACAGAGAAAGTTTTTGCTTTTCTGAGACGGGTTAGAAAATGCCTCTAAGGGCCCAGTGGCGTGGCTTACTGGCTAAAGTCCTCACCTTGAATGCACCGGGATCCCACATGGGTGCCGGTTCTAATCCTGGCAGCTCCATTTCCCACCCAGCTCCCTGCTTGTGGCCTGGGAAAGCAGTCGAGGATGGCCCAATGCTTTGGGATCCTGCACCCATGTGGGAGACTCTGAGGAAGTTCCTGGCTCCTGGCTCCGGATCGGCACAGCACCGACTATTGCGCTCGCTTGGGGAGTGAATCATTGGACGGAAGATCTTCCTCTCTGTCTCTCCTCTTCTCTGTATATTTGACTTTGTACTAAAAAATAAATAAATCTTTTAAAAAAATGCCTCTAAGAAGAAGTGATCTTGGAGTCAAATCCTAAAACGTGTCAAAGACGCCTTTTGTGCAAAAATGTGATAGTCCCCAAGACTGAAAGTTAATGTGTGGAATGAAATTTGAAAAAGAGACCTGCCTTGTTTTGAGAAGAAAGGTAATAAGAATACAGAAACCCTCTAGAGTCAGAGGGGTCTAGCTGCTTCACATGCAATGAGTAATGTTCTGTCTAAACAGTGAGGAAGAGCAGAGGGCATGGTGCTGTGTGGGTCCAGGTCTTGGGTCCTGTGTGCATGTGAGAGAGGAGCTGCCTGTGGCCTGAGGAGACTGTTTTCTTTGTAAAAGGGCAGTGATGAACCAGATACCTTCAAACTTTTTTTTAGTATCTTGCAATTTTGAATTTCTGTGATATTTATTAACATTTCAAAGAGAGTTTTCAGTTGGTAAATTAATCTATATCCAAATACATGTTTAGAAGCAAGTCTTATTTATACTAACCTTTAAAATGAGGTTTATTTAGGAATTAAAATCTTTTATTTTTTGTACATTTATATATCCATGTCCTTTATATCAAGTAAGCCAGGTGCTGGATATGTTCTTAATAATGAAAGAACATATTTTCTTAAATGTTTTTGATGTTGTTTACATGGTTGACAAGCATACATACCGATAAGAACACTGAATAGGGTGGGGAAGGTTGAGGTATGTGGGAAGGTGGGTGGGACCTATGCTTCCAATTTTCCTTTTCTCTATCTGTTGGGGGTGGGAGAGGCTGCTCCCAGCTACCAGACTACATCAATACCCGGGATGGGGAATTTTCATTAGCGACATCTTAGAAAACTCAATGTAGAGAACAGTGTTCCAAGGGTACAACTTGAGTTATTCTGATAGTTCCAAGATGCTGTTGGTTTCATGTCTTCATGGCTTAGAAAATCCTTCCAAGGTCCATTGGCTGACAGAGTCCACCCTACTGCATCCACTCATGCAGATCCTTGCTGCCAAAGCTCAGCCAGAAGAATTGCCCAACCTGTTCTGTTTTTCACCAAATATATTTGGATTTGTGGTTAATGGAGTTTGTAGATACAGGAACCCACAAATATGGAATGTTGACTTTTGGTTCTTTGAAGACTGATAATTATGATTGAGTTTAGTTTTTAGTTAGATCAAGTTTTTGCTTAAAGATTGAATTGGAAAAGCTTTACATATGAAAAGTAGATAAATGCCTTGCTTCTTGTTAATCAAATTACACAGTTGCTAGTGCTGGAGTTGTCACAATTCAATAAATATTTTTGAAATATCTGTTAATGGGGTGAGTGGTAAGGGTGTAGTAAACTCCTGTTATCCACTGGATGCGTATAGTAGCCTCCCTGACCCAGAGAGACATTGCAGAAGAAATAGAAAAGTTATGTACTGTCAACCAAAGCTCAGTAGATGGGTTTTGTACTTTAAAGAGTTTTATAATAGTTCTATTACTTCATCTTTAACATGAAACTGTATTCATTTTTTTTGAAAGTGTTGGGTTTTTTTTAATGAAAGCAGAATTTAAAAATCTCAAATTTGCCCTTGTATTTATTTTATTCACAGCATTGATATATGGTATAAGAGTCAGTGTAGTTAGAGAGTCAAACTTGAGAGCAGGTTAGAGTTGTGGCAAGTCCTCCAATACTTGGCCGTGTATGAGGGTTTCAGAAATAGGAGCTATGGCAAATTTCCATGTGATGGCTTGTTGTCATGCTGTGCAGTTGGCAGAATCTGTGTAGTCAGTCAGTCATTCAATCCCAGTGTTTCAGTAATGAGGCTCAAAAGGGAAATTTTAAGTGTGTCTGATGAAGGACCAATGTAATGACATTAACCTGGGAGCCCAGGGAATTATGAAATGATTTAATTAGGAGAGAGGTTAACTTTCATTTTGAAAATTTCTTTCTGACCTTGGAATGGAGGATAAGGGAACAGGCACGAATGAAGGCAAAAACAGCTGAACAGAGTTGTATTAATAGATAAAAGGAAATGAAAAAGCAGATCGAAATAAAGGATAGACGAGAAATCCTTCATGTTTAAAAAGAACAAGTATCTGGAAATACTTTTAGATTGCTAAGGTGATTTTGTTCTTTTTGGATAAGATTTAATTAAAAAGCATGCCATATAGACAGATTCGAAGAGCCTAGCCTTGCCTTGTCTTCAGAGAATTGATCTAAAATATACAGATAAATCCTTTTTTTAAGGTTTATCTTATTGGAAAGGCAGATATGTAGAGATGAGGAGTGACAGAGAAGATTTGTCTGATGATTCACTCCCCAAGCAGCCAGAACGGCTGGAGCTGAGCTAATCCGAAGCCAGGAGACAGGAGCTTCTTCTTGGTCTCCCAAGCTGGTGCAGGGTCCCAAGGCTTTGGGCTGTCCTCGACTGCTTTCCCAGGCCACAAGCAGGGAGCTGGATGGGAAGTGGAGCTGCCGAAATTAGAACTAGCGCCCATATGGGATCCCGGCACTTTCAAGGCGAGGACTTTAACCACTACGCTATCACGCTGGGGCCTACAAAGATCATTTTAATCCTGTTAAGGCATTATTTTGGTTCTGAGATGAACATGGAAATGACATTTTTATAGGCTATTTTAACAAACACAGGATGTATTCAAGTGTTAAAGTGTTTTGCTTATAAGTTTTGGTAACCTTTATAACATTTTATAAGTTATAAATACTATGCTTGTTATAGTTCAAGGATACTGAGGAGCTTGGATATTCTAAAATTACAGCAGACCAATTATCTCCCTTTACTGTATTTTTAAATTAGTAGCTTTGTTTACATATGCTAATTTCCATATACAATTTGGAAAGCTTATTAGTAGATATAAATTCATAAAAGTGACTTCATGAGTGCTATGTTGGTGAATTTTCTTTTCACAAATTTATTGAACTTATTTGAGTGACATAAACATCAGGTTCGAATAGAAGGTTTGTTTTGCATTTCAGGAATTAATGAACATATGAAAAAGCTAAAGAAAGAATAGCATGTTTAAAACCAAAGGAGGTGTTTCAGTTTGGAGCTTAAAACCTCTCTGGTAAATTGACAGTTTTTTAGTACGAGAACTAATTTGATCATAATTGAATCTGGAATAGACTTTTCAATGTTCATTAAGTTTATACCAACCTATCTGAAAGTTTAGGAACAGCGTGTATTATTTGGGAGTAAAAATCTTAAAAGCGAGGACAGACAGAAAATCTTATAAGAGGACAGATAGAAAATAAAGATGCATGGATATGTTTCAATAGTTTTATATATCAGTACTTCCAGTTCCAAGATACTCTACCAATCTGATACGCAGCATTGAACAATAAAGCTTTGATTCTAAACTTTTATTTCCCAGATCAATTTGAGGTCATGTTTCTGTAAATATTTGGAATTGCTTTTGTGTACTTAAACGATGCGTTTGATTTCTTCTAGCAATGTGGTTGTCAAAATGAAGTAAAACCTGATCATGTTTGTGAATTTACTCCCACATGTCACAGTGACACAGTGGCTTATATATAAATAAGTTTCTTCCGAATTTTAACATGCAATGTTATAGACTGTTATACACTTTAATGTTTATATGGTTTTCTGTGTTTAATTATTTTTATTGAAAGGGCAAATAGAGATTGGTGATTGATTTTATTCAATGATTCCATTTCTCAGTGTCCAAGATAGCCAAGGCTGGATCCCTTCAATGTTAGGATCTGAGAACTCAAATCAGAATTCCACATAGGGGTCAGGCATCCCAGTATTTGAACCATTATTTGAGTGCCTCCCAGGGAAGCTGAAACTTGCACCAGGTGGCCTGATAAGGGACACAGGCATCTGCAGCAGCCTCTTAGGCACCATGCTGAATGCCCATCCTAAGTTTCTCTTGAGATGGATATTCTGTCACTCTCATTTTGTTTTCCTTTTTCTTAGCATACCCTATGTCCTTAGAACCATGTTTTTAATGTTTATAGTTTTGGTCACATAATAAGCCAGCTTTGTATGTAGTGATTGCTTGAATTAAAATAGAAAAATATTTCCTTAGATTTTAAGTACTGCTCACACTCTGCTGCCTCCATTCCCATTTTGCATTTAACATTCAAATGTGTTCGGTGTTAGGGCTTTGTCATTTTCACTGACTGTCTTCTCTGCTTCCAGTTAACAGCCAGGTCGTTGCCAACTGTGCAGTCTGATGAGAGACTCCTACCTTTGCTCAACCACCTCAGGTAAAATGAAGGCACAGCCTTTTTATGCTTTCCATAGGAGTGCACAAAAGCTGGTCAAAGCCCTAACATTTTCTTGCTTGCAATTCCATTTCCAACTTGACGTTAAGAAAGTATGCTTTTTATTCTTGACTTCAATTAATTCAACTAAATTTGTAGAATTACTTGGTAAGCTTCTGTTGAAATGACTAGAGATGATTAGCATTCTAGAAAGCTGTCAACTGAATGTTACTTACTGAAATACAAAGATAAGGGACATTTGTATTGGGGGTGGGTGAGATGGATAGGGTTTGCTTTCCAAAAAATGTAGCCTGATTCCCTAAAAACAAAGCTTAGAAATTATGGAAAAATAAAAGGAAAATGCTTCATTATTGCTCATAAATGGAACAACCAAAAACTCCTGCTGTTTTACCAAATTATTATACAGGTATAATTGGGATAATCTATATTCAATTTATTGTTAGGAATGCTTTTTAGACATTCCATTATCCATTCTTGTAGGATTAACCTGTCTGTATTCTCTGCTCATCTATTAATAGCATCTCCTGATTTCATTTGATCATCAGGTAGAAAGGAAAATAACTCTTGTATTTGTAAGAAGCTTCTCTATTGTAAAGACATTTTACTATGTTGTGTTACTCACCATGTGGCTTTGCCACAGCATCAGGTAGCAGATGCTGGCACTGGGGGTAATTCTGTTAAGCTAACCTGCAGAACCACCTGGAGAGTGCAGGATCTGGGAATGGGAGTGTTCCCATCGGACAAACAGTGGGCCCCTCCCTCTTGAGTTGCCACTCCCACTGGTGAACACAAGAAATGTGCTGTTTATTTACTTGAAAGTCAGGAGATGGGAAATAAAAGGAGAGGGTTGGAGGAGGAGGAGGAGGAAAAGGATCGAGGAGAGAGAAGGGAGGCAGGGAGTAGATCAGAGAGAGAGAGAGACAGACAGACAGAGAAAGCAATCTGTCTTGGCATCTGCTGATTTATTCCCCAAATGGGCCAGCTCCAGCCAGTCCAGGATTTACATGCAGGTTTTCTTTTTCTTTTTCTTTTTTTAAAAGAGTTATTTAATTTTATTGCAAAGTTGGATATACAGAGAGGAGGAGAGAAAGAGAGGAAGAACATCATCCAATGATTCACTCCCAAAGTGACCACAATTTCCGGAGCTGTGCTGATCCAGAGCCAGGAGCAGGAGCTTCCTCCAGTTCTCCCACGCGGGTGCAGGGTCCTAAATTTTTGGGCCATCCTCGACTGCTTTCCTAAGCCACAAGCAGGGAGCTGGATGGGAAGCAGGGCTGTCGGGATTAGAACCAGCGCCTGTATGGGATCCCGGTGCTTTCAAGGCAAGGGCTTTAGCCGCTCGGCCACTGTGCCAGGCCCTACGTACAGGTTTTCCATGTGGTTGAGAGACACTTGAGTATTTTGTCCTTCCTGTTCTGCCTCTCAGGCGCGTTAGCAGGAAACTGGATCAGAAGTGGCTTAGCTGGGACTTGAATAGACACTTTGATATGGGAAGTCAGTGCTGTGGATAGTGACTGAAATCTTTGCTCCCCAGACTGCTACTTGTAAAAGTTTACAAAATTTTTTGCTTGAATTGAGAGCAAAGGGATGAAGACTAATATTTCAGGAAGGTTTGAGTAGCCTACATATTAGGTATGGTTGTTCTGAGAGTTCTGTGTTGGGGGTGAAGAAACGCAAACGTCTGCAGGAGTCTTTTGTCTAATTGCTCTTCTACCCATGCATAACTGTGGTGATACTGTTGCAGAAGTGTCTTGCCTTTTCTCTTCATACTGCTTTGCCTTCTTCAGTGTCTTTCACGTTATTGCCATGTATTCCTTGGCTTACTACCATACTCTAGCTTCCTACTTTTATTCTGGATTAAATTGGAACTTCCTAACCTGGTATATGAAATCCATTTTGATGGGTGTAACATTCTTGATGGGTGGATTTCTCTCTCAGCACTGAAACCCTAGTGGGTCATCCCACCCAATACCATGAAAACCCTCCAATGCAGTATGCTTTTTCGTAATCACCGCTTCGCTTATATTTTCCCTTTTTCCACTTCTGTTTACTGATGCAAATATGTGCAAATATAATGCTTAAATACATTAAAACATTTCTTAATCTATAATATGCATATTATATAAAGTCTATATTTATACACAAATGTAAATGATATATTTATTTTCCCTCTTTTCATTTTAGTTTACTTGGCACACTTTTGCTTGTTCTTGAAGACTACATAAATATTACCTCCTGATAAGTTTTCTTTGACCATTTAGGCCTTTTCCATGACCTAAATCAGATGCGTTTTTCAGGTGGTTTTATCATATCCTGTGACAACCAATGTATTATTGTTACTGCTTACGGAGTTGCACATTACTGTATGCATTGCTTGAGAGTTTGTAATGTTCATGTTTGTGTTTTTAGTACCCGGGACAGTATGACATGTGGTATTTTTTTGTGATGTGTTTTATTGAAAGATTAAATGCAGGGGTCGGTGTTTGCAGCAGTTAATTTGCTTATTGGGGTGCCTGTGTCCCCTCAGAGGGGTCCTGGTTTGAGTTTGGCTACTCTGCTTCTGATCCAGTTTCTTGCTAATACACACCTGGAGAACCAGCTGGTGATGACTCATGTGGGAGCCTGGAATTGTCTGTGCTCCTCTGCCTCCCGCACGAGAGAACTGGATTGTTCTGGTTTCTGGTTTCAGCTTGCCTTAACCCTTGCTGCAGGCATGTGTACAGGGGGTGAAATAGTGGATGGAAGATTCTCTCTCTCTTTCTCTGCCTTTCTAATAAATTGAGAGTAAGTAGAATGAAAATTTAAAAAAAAAGAAAATTGTATTACAGACATTTTTCTGCATAAATTTTTGTGAATCATTTGTTACTGGTTTTTTTTTTTTTAAAGAATAAAACCATTGGTTTGAAAGATAGAGCTCAAAGGGTTGGTTTTCACCTCTGGTTAATGCTTGTTTCTGTGAGATAATGATGAATTCTCCTTGCCCCATCTCAGTATGATAAGTGTCAACCAGAATTTAGATTAACTACTGACATATCTGAGTCCTTGAAACTTGCACAAACTCTACATTTGTTTGGGGCTTTTGTTCTCTTTGGAGTTCATGCATGACTGGTTGCTAGGCAACCAGGGCTAGATGCTACATGTTAAATGCATCAACTGATGCTGCTTTTTTATTATTGTTAAGCCAAATGGTTACTCATTTTATTACCATGTCACAGACATCTGTGTGTAGGGTGACAGTCTATGATATGCATAGTTTGAATACTTCTTGTTCTACAAAGTAACATAATACACCTTCCCAGCACAATGACATGTCTCTCTTGGCTAGCCAAATGCAGTGCTCTTCTTTTCTCTCTCTTTAGGTTAAAATTGGAAAGAATATTACTATGTTTGAGAGATACTAGCAGTGACCTTGTTGGGAAGAAATAGTTACCGTTGATTTATGAGACTGTGTGAATTAAACATTACTTTCGGGGCATGGACTTCAGGAGATTTGAATTTAGGATCAGTATTAGGTCTAATTTCATTTAGTGCCTGTAATGATCAGGAACAAATGACAAATAGTATTTTTAAGTTAACTTATCCAAAAAAAGCAATTTAGCAGATTGTATAAATATTTGTAAAACTGAAGTTGCAATGTGGAGAAATTCCTCAGTCATTTTACAGGAGTGAAACATTCAAAGAGAATTAGTATAATACTGTGCTAACTTGATAATCTTGGATATTGCTTAACAGTATATACTCTTTTGAGACTGTCAAAGTGATGTGTCAGGAACCCACTTTTTTTTAACGTTTTAATTTTTATTTTTGAGGATTACATAATTGACCAAGGTGGGAAGGGGAAGGATCAAGTGATAGGGGAAAGTGGGTGTGATCACTGCTTCCAAATTTTCTATTTCTTCTTTCCCTATTTGGAGAAGGGAGACCATAAAGAGTGAAGCCATACCCAGCCTTCCAATTGCCCCATACCCAATAATGGGGAACGGCCACTCGATATCAACCCTGGGTCCCTGATATGGCACATTCTGCGAGGGTTCTGCCTAAAGTGGTTTCACTACTTTTGAAATGCTGTCAATCTTGCTGATCCAAGGGTAAGAAACCCCTTCCAATAGGGCTCATGGACCCAGCACCCACTGTGCAAGCAAGCACCTGGACCCTGCTGGAGCCTTGGACCCAGAATTCACAGATCCGGCAACTGTCATGTAGGCAGGTGCTCAGGGTTCTGGGCCAGGCAATACAGGCCCTGCCAGACCTACCCCAGGACTTTTGGACCCAATACCCACTGTACTGGCAGGCCCGAGGACTTAGGCCCAACTGGACTCCCCGCCCCTGGGACTCATGGTCCTGGCACCCACCTCGCCTAGACTGGTAGGGCTCATCTCACCTCGGCATCCCTAAATTATGTGAACTGGCTGGTGTTGCGGCCCAACCCAGCCCATTGTACAGTCCATCCTATTTCTCAGATCTGTCAATAAATGAGGAACCCACTTCTTAAAGTTCAGCCCAGAGTGACATTTTGTTTCAATATTCTACAGAAATACATAATTTTAAAAATTCAATAGTAGAACCCATCCATTCAATCATTAGTTTTTTTAGTGCTCGTTATATTTAGAATAATAATATAAACATAGGATAGTCCCTGTTTTTAAGCAATTTGTTATTTGGTTTCATTTGAGTCTTTCAAGGGCTAGAAAATTTCTAAACTTTTTGATTAGAGCTTAGCAGCAGGTCCATGACTTCATTTATTGGATTGCTTCCCTTATGGCAGTGTTTTCTTAAGTAATGAGGCCATCCTTGCCTTACTTGTCCTGGTTTCTGTTGTTTCTAGCATGGTAGTGGCTCTGATTGGACTGAACTTTATTACTGTTCGAGAATGATGTCATTGTCTAAGAAGCAGAATATAGGAAGATGGGATTAGGAGATGGCTGTGACTGCTAAAATGCAACAGTTTCAGGCATTTTAAGCCCAAAATGCCCGTGAGGAAT